TTTAAAGTCTATTTGTTTGTGTGTCATTTTCTCCAGCCACATGTGGATTTTAGTCCAGTATCTTTTAGCTTCAATGCAAATATTTTATTTTTAGTTCCAATGTCATCAGTGTTTTCTGGTTTCTGTAGCTACTCCAATTATTTGTAGAGGACAATGTATTGACATGTCCAATTGTTACAAAGCCCCAGTATGAGTGTCTGCAATTTTGCCTTTTTTGGTACTTTTAATTAACTGTGAAATAAATGGTGTAAGAAAAGAAAATTTCTTTATAATATCTATACAGAAGATGGTTAATTAACTTTTTTTATAAAAGTAGTTCCAAAACATTAGTATTCTTCTTTCTGTTTTTACTGTCTTTTTACTGTTTTATTTTGGTATTTTTGAGCTTTCAATTATAAGGATTGTTCAGTATTTCATTAAATTTGTAATTTTGTCTGGAATGTTTTTCTTTTCTTTTTCTTTTGGCATTCATGAAGTTAAAATTTGGAACTGTTTTAGAGTTTAATCCCAGAAGAGTTGGGAAAATTAATGCAACCTGGAAACAGGCAAGAAACTGATTGATTGATTGATTTTTTAATTTTTTTATTCAGTTTTGTTTGGGTTGATATTGTATAAATATAAATAATTGTCACTTCCATAAGACATATCTAAGTTAACGCCAAAAGCAGCATTGTAATTGAAAGAAAATGAATGTCCGTAGAATTTTTGTCTTTTATTTATTTATTTATTTTTCAAAATCAAAGCTGTAATTTTGACAGGATCACCCAACAGTACACAAGTCCATTATTAAAAGATAAAAAACAAACTCTTACTTACTGAAATTTGGTTTAAATATCTTGTATGGATTTGGAGCATGTACATTCTCAGCTATATTTCTTTCTGTTTTCTAGGCTTATCAACCTGGTCTCAGCATTCTAGATCTCAGCCTCAGAGGAGTTCATGCTCTAAGAATAAAGACAGAAAACCATCAGAGGTATTACTTTGATATCTATCATGGCATCTTGTTAAAGTACAGATGTATCTTTTTTCCTAATACTTCTTTTTCTTTCCTTTTCCGCTCCATCTCAGCTGGCACCCAGCAACCTTTCTTCTGGCCAGGAGATCAGGGAGCTCAACTGCTGCCACAGTCCCTGCCAGCATCAAGTTAGTTATTTAGTCATGAATATTGGATTGGTTTAGCACCAACCCAATTTTCTTTTCTTTTCTTCTCTCCTCCCCTTCCCCAATTTGTTGGTAAAGAGTGGAAATGTTATTTAGGAGTGTTTTCTGAATATTGTTTATCATTACAGCAGATTGATAAATAAGAACTTTTGTTTAGCAAAGTGAAACTAGACACATTTGTCTTGCTAAATGTTTCTTGTGCATTTTTTCCTGCAGAAAAGCAAGAAATATGAATTTGTTTTGCCCTTTCACAGGGGATTTGGTAAGATGCAAAAGGGTATAAGAATTACAAATGGTCACATTCTTTGAGTATCAAAGTAGAAAATAGGAATATTTATTTAGTTGGATGTTTCTGAAATAAATTTTGTTTTGGGTCTTGACATCCATCCCTCTTAACTTTTATTCTGTATTACTTATATAAAGGTTACTGTTGCCATTATAGATTGTGGCAGGTGGTTATTTATCAGAACATTATTTATTGATGGAGGGTTGGAAAAAGAGCTACCATAAGATAGAGTTGTTATAATGTATTCTTCTAATTCTGACTAGTTTTCCCTTTTCTTTTTATTATGCACATGCATGTATTCTCTATGATTTATATTGAGCCTTGTTTCAGTGGATTAACTGCAAAATCTTACTTGCAAAATTCCCTATATTTAATTAATCAGTGTGTTTTATCTTGTTCTTCAGCTGAAGAGAGTCCCAAAGAGCAGCATAAGATTAACTAGGCTGTCATCCTGAAAGAGGGGGGGGGGAGTGATGAAAATAGAAAAGGAAAACAAGCTTATTAGGCATCCGTTCTTAAAAGTGATAGGTGAAGAGTTGTGTGCCATTCACTGTTTAGATATAGTAATTTTACATGAGTGTCTCTAGGCATGCTGATTGCATCTGCAGAACAGCAGGAATAGTAGTCAGATTGTTGATTCTTGGAAATTATATCCTTGATGTTCCATTAAATTCTCTTTTGTCTTGTAGCCAACTTTTCACAATGTTCAGGTGCAGAAATACTCATAATGTGGTGCTTTTCCCTGAGCTAGCCAAAATCAATACATATATAAAAGTCCTGAATGTCTGGCATATACTTCTGTCTGGATATCTTTTTATTTACTATGCATCCACCTATATACCTACTACACACACATACACACACACACAGGGGGGGACATGCACACACATATACACTTATTTTTGGAGTGATTTCAAGAATGGATATTAGGGAGTGTTCCCTACTCCAACTTAGAGGAGGAGTACCCTATCTAATCGGTGCTATATGAAAAGTTTTTTGTGCCTCTGCCCATCCTTCGAATATGATTGTGGGTGATGGGAAAAGTGGAATCTTAAATCAGTCTTTTCCAGCCTGAAACCCTCAGAATTAATAGCCAGTTCTTGAATTTGCAGTCCTAGAAATTAAGTTTCAGAATGGAATTATTGTCATTATTATTCATTCAATTCTGAAGCCACCTAACTCCAGTCAACTTTGGGTAGCTCTGCAGATTCAACTGCAGCGACAACTAGGAAAGCACCAAGTTGGACAAATCAATCTTAAATTACTTAGATATTCCTGTTTGGATGTAAATACTCTTATTCTGGATGAAACCTAATTTATTTATAATTTTGGTGTTAACCCAGATGAATTAAGCAATCTGTAAATAAAGTGTGCATAGTGCTTGTAAATGAAAGAGGAATGATTCAGATCATTCAGAGTTGCAAGATGGATTAATTTATGAAGCAGGATGTATGAAACATATTTACATTATCACCAGCAGTGTTTGTAAAATGTGTAGAATCATTTTCAGAGTATTCGTTTTGAATCTGTCATTGCATGAACTGATCTAGTTTCTCTATAGCAAATTTATTTAATATCTATTTCACCCTGTCCCAGCATATTTTAAAACTATTGGTGAATATCTCTATGTGACCTATGGCATTCAGCAGATATTTAATTCACAGGTTGTGGATGGAATGCTGATCTTGAATAATTCTTGTTACTTTATAATATTTTGCAGTCAGGATTATGTAGGAAGAAGCATTTGTAGTCCTCCTTTTAATGCTTACCACTTTATAGTTTCTGTTTGAACAGATAAGAGATAATAAAATTGACAGAAACATAGAAATGCACTATTGAGGTAGTCCTTGACTTATGACCAGGAGGTTGTACATCATAAGTGATGTAGTTGTGAAGTGTGGTGTCACATGACCACATCGCTTAGCAATGTGACTCTACTTTGCCATTGTTAACCTAATTTCACTAATCTTTAACTGAAGATCCACATCAATCCCAGCCTCGGTAAGGTAAGGGATTGCCTTGCCTTCAACTCCCTCCAACTGCCTATTCTGCCTGCCCCCTTTCTACCATTTTGTTTGCCCTGCACCCTGCTTTGGGGCAGCAGCAGTCCCAGAACGACATTGCTCTGGGGCTGCTTGCCACACTTTGACTCAAGAGTTTGGTGCACCATGGCTCCGGGGCTGCAAGCAGCCACAGTGCAAAGCCGTAGCCTTTCTAGGAAGACTTTACCCAGCGCCTTGGTGCAAAATGGCAGCCACCACAGCACAAAGTGTAGCACAAAGCCACATCTGCCCTGGGAAAATTCAGATACAATTAGCTGCAGTCAACCTCGCCACCCTACATTCAGAGGGCTCTGCAGCCCTGTGTTGGCTTTTGCTGTCTTCGTGCTCCTGTTGCTGATAAGCAGGGGTGGGTTTCGACCGGTTCGCACCGGTCCCTGCGATCCGGTTGGTCGCCGAACCCGGAA